TTATCAGAGTGCTGATATTGCCAAGTCTGAGTTTGAAGGCAGCAATGATGGCTACCTTTCCGGCCTCAGAGACCAGAGGTGCAGCCCGCACGTAGGGCGTATGTAAAAAGTATCTGAAATTCCTATAGCTTCCTTTAAAACGATGTTCTTCGGAAAAAGTCTAGATTTTTTTTCTTTTATAGCCTGGAGGATCTAAATGAGTTACTGACCCTCTGGTGGAGAAGAATCAGCAGAGATACATGATTGGCAACTTGCCCCAGGTCTCACTGGTGACAACCAATGAGCATCTAAGGTTATTCACAAAGACAAAACCTGATATTTGTATAGCCATGTAAAAATCCTCTGATGTCTTATATTTTAAATCCTTTAAATAGGAACTTAAGGCACATTCTATAATGGTGTGGTTAATTCAATTCAACAAACAAGGTCAGAGTAATGATTCAATTGCGTTAGGCAGGGGCCAAGACCAGTGAACTCAGGCAAACCATCTCCAACCAGGGATTCCTTCCAGTATTGGTCATCATCCAAACGACACCTGCAGATGCTACTGTTGTACTGAGAGCGCATGAAACACCATGGCTTCCACCAGCAAGCATGCCCCCTCCACCCCCGGCAAGTTCCTCGCACTTTGGCACTCCACCCTACAATGCTTACAAGGCTCCAAATTCTCACTTTCTCTAGTCTTGGGGAGATTTCAATTTGCCATTTCTTTTTTGGCATATTTGTAGCCTATCACTTAACACTGTCACTGAAAGATAATATTTCAGTGATTACTCAGTGCTGACATTTTATTATTTAATATTAAAATCCCATCAGAAATCCCTAGCCTGATAAGCTAAAAATGAGGTTTGAAAATAAAGCACCTGGCAAATCTGATTTGTAGTCATCCAAATGGCATTTTGTCTGATGGGAACTAATTATCAACCTGACATGATTTCAATCTGCTGTCATTTTAAGAAATGGGATTGGTTTGCTCTCTGTAAAGATGATCAGGCTTGCCACTCTTCAACCAGACACCCAATTTCACCTATTCTTGTGAGATTCTTCTATTATGCAAACTAGTGGTAAAGCAATTACATGCTCCAAAAGATTAAGACTAAAAATTTCATATTCAGAGAATTGTCATTTTCACCTCTTAAAATGTAAATTCTTCCCAGATGTTAAAATACCTTTTTTATTTCACACAATGTTACCTAATGATCTGAGGAAGCAACCCCTCTGAAAGCAATTTTATCTCCCAAATTCGATTACAGTACTCTGACAGAACTCCAAGGCTCTGTCCGGGGGAGAGACCACCTAATAAATGAGGGAATCATGGGAGGGAATACATGTTTCTTCAGGCTTTTTAAGGCTACTTAGTGACTGGACATTTGACTATTACCAAGCTAAATGCTCCAGTGGGCCAGGACTGAAGTTTGAGTAGAGACCAGCTGGAGGAGAAAGTAGTATTTAAACAGGAGATACTTTACCCTTCTACAGCTTAAGAAGAAATGCTGGGGGGCACCTAGGTGGCTCAGTTGGTTAAGCAGCTGCCTTTGGCTCAGGTCATGATCCCAGAGTCCTGGGATTGAGTCCCACATTGGGGGGGGGGGTCCCTGCTCAGCAGGGAGTCTGCTTTTCCGTCTCCCTCTACCCCTCCTCCTACAGGTGCTCTCTCTCTGCCTCTCAAATAAATAAAATCTTAAAAAAAGGAAGGAAGGAAGGATGAAAGGAAGGAAGGAAGGAAGGAAGGAAGGAAGGAAGGAAGGAAGGAAGGAAGGAAGGAAGGAAGG